CAAGAGGAGTTTATGTACAAAGGGATCGGTTACAAGGGTGTGGGCAAGTTTTAGTGGCCTCCCAAGGGCTGTGCAAGAATTGGAGCCTAGCAGCAGCAGAGGTATCATCACCCCTAGGCCCCAGAAGACGAGGGGACAGAGAAGTTATTGCAGCCTGGATGGAGAGAAGATTGTGTAGACCAGGCTGCCTAGAGAAGAGCCCCCGCATCTGTTGGGAAAAAGCTCCTCATGGAGGAAACAGGAATTGAGTGCCCTGCCCTCATTGTCCTCGAGCCCTCCATGCCTTGTCATGGCTCCCTGATGGCCAGAGGGTGCAGGATTCTGCTGGAGTCATCCAAGTGAGGTGGCCTTCTAGGGCAGAGAATGAGGGAGGTGAGAGGAGCTGAACTCTGCTGGGTGGGGAGTGGGGTGGAAGATATCCAGCCTGGTTCTAGAACGCCTCTGGCAGTACTTACACGGTTTTACTTTTTACATGTAAACGTTGATCCCCTGGAGTTTATCTTGACGTGCTCTGTGGGATGGTTCCAACTTTGCCTTTCCTCGGCAGCGCTGCTTATGATGAAGTCCGCCTTTACCCACTGACTGGAGCATGCATATTTGTCAAATATTAATGTCCCATGTACATTTGGGCCTATTTCTGGATTTTCTCTTCGGGTTCATTCATATGCCATTCTGTATTAATTACCAACGCCTTGTGATGGATTTTAAGAACTGGGGAGACAAATGCCTCCTCATTTTTCTCCTATTTTAGAGTTTTCCTGCTTGTTTGTTTTGAATGAACCTGCTTGTCTGCTTCTCAAGGAAAGAAACTTGTTAGGAGATTTTGGGAGATTATGTTAAATTTATAAATTTATTAATGGAGGCCTCACATCTTTAGAACATACTATGTTCTTTCTTCTTTAAAACCATGATCTGTCAAGAAACCTGGCAAACACCACCTTACCACGTGAGAAAAGTTACAATAATGGGACTAACTGACGTTAGGTCCCTCCCTGTGGAATGCACTAAGGACACAACATCACTCAGGCAGCATTCCTGCCAAATCTAGTCATGAGAACATGTTACACCAAATCAAACTGGGCACGTTCTCCCAAAGAAGTGGCCTATATTCTCCAAATATGTCAGTGTCATCAATTATACCACAAGAAACTGGAAAAAAAATCAGTATCTTTCAGGACAAAGAAAGGATGAGTCCCTATTCTTACATTAAAATGGATGAAGGAGACATAAGAACTGCATGAACTGTGTGGTCCTGTTTGGATCCCGGATCAGGGAAAAAATATCCGTAAAGGATATTAACGGGACAATTTAAAATCGAATATTTACTGTAGGTTAGATCACAGTATTGCATCAATGTCAAATCACCTAAATTTGATAATTGTACTGTGGTTGTGTAAGAGAATATTCTTGTTCTTACAAAATGCATGATGAAATATCTAGGGATAAAGTGGGCCTGCTACTAACTGTCACATCGTTCAGAAAAAATAATAATACAGTATATATGTAGAGAGCAATAATAAAGTAAATGTGGCAAAATGTTAATAACTGATAACTGGGTGAAGAATATATAGGAATTCTTTGTACTATTCTTGTAACTCTTTTGTAAATTTAAAATTATTCAAAGTAAAAAGTTACAACAAAAGAAAGTTTGAGGGAGTGGAAAGGGAGAAGAGAATGTTAAAATATATGAGTTCCTTCCTGCTTTTAGCCGATTTGATCTTGATTCTGTCTTTTAGCACATTGTCCTAAAACCCAGAAGAACATCAATCGATTAACCAATGTTAGCCAACCTCGTTTTCAGTTCCCATAAATCATCTCCACTGCTTTGGTTACCACGCCCTCCAGCTGCTCACGCCAGTCCCTTCCTGCAGCAGGCCGGTTAGCTGGCCTCTTTCTGGTGCTGCCTTCTCACAGAATCAAGACCACATGCACAGGAACAGCTCAGTCTTGGAACTTGGGTGTTCCTGGTGTCCATGACCAGAAAATGATATGATATTTGATTTTGGTTTGCAAAACCAGGAGGGAACCTGCTAATGCTTTTCCTTGGGTCCGTCCACAAAATGGTAAAACCGTAGCTGCTGCTACTGCACCCACCACCACCGTTTCTGGAAGGCCCTCAGTGTACCAGGCTTTGTGTTACTCATTTGATATGTGTGATCTTCTTTTCTCAGAACAACCTCGTAGGTAGGCACTATTATTATCCGCACTTGACAGATGGGCAAAGTGGGCTCACTCTCCCTCCCCTGGCAAGTGGTAGGAAGGGGACACAAAGCTGGCTGACTGCTCTAGAACGTGCTCCTTACATGCTCTGTGGCATCTTGACAGTGCCCACGTTGGGTGCAGCCTTGGGGGTGGGGGCTGTGAGGTGGCCTCCAGCTGGCCGTTAGCCTTTGGCCACAGTAAAATTGGAAGAATCAACGATAATCGCTAGGAATGAACAGTGCTTTGCCTTACAAGGTGTGGACCTGTGCTCCAGAGAGCCGGACTCCTTGGTAGCAAGGAACCTGACCTGCAGGAACCTGGGAGAAGGGTTTGTACACACATTGTGTGTGCCCCAGGAGTGATTCACAAATACATCCTATGGAGGCAGAGGATGGCACAAGGTCAGTGACAAAAGGAAACAGGGTGCAGGAAACAGATGCTTTTTCTCAAGCAGACACAGAAGCACTAAGAGGTGGGAGCAGGAAGGAGCAGCACGGGGTGGAGACACTGCACCAGGATATGGACCCCAAATCAGGGAGAGGATGAGCAAGTCTTCCGAGCCTTTGGGGAACGAGGTCCAGTGTTTACTGATGCACTTCTGTTGTGCTCTGAAGGCAGTCAGGAGTGTTTGGGTGCATCTGTGCCACGTGTCACTCTGCGTGCGCGTGTGCATGTGTGTGCATGACAGAGAAAGAGAGAGGGAGAGATTAAGATTGAGGCTCATCTTGGTTACCTGATGATGTCAGGTTGATTACTGGATTCTACTAGGTCATTAATCCTCAATTCTTCTTGGAGTCAGATTAAGGAGTGGCCCAGCTGGGCAGTGATTGCCCAAAGTGTCACTCAATGTGGGCCACAGCAGTGGGCACTGGGGGTGCTCCACCCAGGTCCCTGTGGCCCCACTTATTGTTCCTGTGTGCCCGAGCCCTAGCATCCTTGTGCTTTCCTTCCAATGGCAGCCCCTGTGCCTGGACTGCCATGTGACTGGAGAGCTCTCAGGGTTCCCACAAGTGTCCGGGGGTCACATCCCCTTGGGGGTGGTCCTCAGCGACCACTGACGGGTGAAGGAATACGAAAGCCCAGGTCCCCTGCTTGGACGCAGGACAGACTTCAAGGTGTAATTTTCCCTCCTGACTCCTCTGCAGGATTGGGCTGAAGCTGCTCTTCCACCTGCCTGGCTGCTGGCTCCACCCCTTCCTTGGTTTCTCCAGGAACTGCCTGAATAAATCACGTGCACACGCTTCCTGGGCTCAGGCCCTGCTTCTGGGAGCCTGACCTCAGACAAGCACTTACGCAGTCCTAGAAATGTGACAAGAAGGAGAAAAACAACATTTATCTACCAAATATGGCTCAGGGAGATTGCCCAACGTGTTTGCAAAGGCTCTTCAGCCATTTACTTCAGTGCGAGGGCTGAGCCCCTCCACCCCCCAGCGCATTGGCCAGAGTGACTCCTAGGGATGTGGGTCCTGTCCCCCATGGGCGTCTTTGTCTGCTGGTCTAGACCTATGAATCGAGGGCCTGAGTGGAATTGCTTGGGACAATGGTGTGCAGCCGGAGCCTGGCCTGGAGGGAAGGGCGGGAGGGCTGGAAGCAGCACTCAAGCTCCTCCCTAACATAGACATTGAATAACGAGAAATCTCATAAGAATGTCCACTTTCTTGGGGTACCCCCACGCCGCCAGGGTCAGCTGGAGAGAGAAAGGGAGGGTTTTCTGTGAGGTCCTCTGAAGAGGAACTAGGAAAGGCACGGGCTGCCAGGGTTGAGGGTGACATGGTTGAAGGGTCATCTGTGTGGCCCTGGGAAGTCCTTGAAGGAAGAGGAGGAGGCTACAGTCAGGCTATTCCTGGTGGCCTGAGTGGGAGTCCCATGGTGGACCCAGAGGTGACTCTTCATGGCTGTGTGGGACAAGTCACAGTTGGGGTCATCACTCAGTCTGAGAGTATAGGGGATTCTGAGAAGTAATGGAGAGCCAGCCCCTCCCATATCAACCACCCATCAGCCCTGTCTTTTAAGTCTGAGTTTTGGTGGAACTTCCACGTCATGAACAAATTAATGGGATAAATGACATTCTACTAACAGGTCTAACAAACGTACTAAAGAGCAGCCGAGCGAGTGTCTGCAGCAGAGAACAATTCGCCATTTATGAATCACTCGTCTGCTAATATGCCGATTCTTGAGACAAAGAGTTCGCTTCTCGTGGAGACGTGCAACGCAGTCTGACCAGCTGTGCACGAGCTCCTGAGAGGCAAGGGGATGGCAGGACCATAGCCTGCCTCTGGCCTTGCCGGGCTTCTCGTGGAGCAGGGAGCATGAAGTGCGCCCTAACAGGGTGCAGGAGGGCGGACTCCGAGGCCTGCTCAGTATCAAAGAGGCATAAGGAGGCCAGACGCTGTGAGGATGGCCAAGGTCGGCTCCAAGGCAGCAGGGGTGGCCGGCGAGGCTCAAGCCACCTGAGCTCAGAGCCAGCGTGAGGATGAAATAAGAGTGGCTGGCCCAGGACAAGAATATACTGGGTATTATTACTACACATACACATGCACACACATGGACTTTCACATACCGCTTTAATTATTTAATTAGTGGCTATGAATACTCAGTAATGAGTAATAAATTATTAGATTAGAACACATTATTATATAATATATTATGTGTAATATATTAACATATTATACATACCATACTACTTATGTTAATTTATGTAAAATATATTGCTATATTTACATATAGTGTATACTGTATTAATATATTGTCTAGTAACATTATTTATTATTAAATATTATATATTAAATATTGAACTTTTATATACTATATAAGTTAATGTATGAATGTATAACGTATAAAATTGAATCTTATGTTAAAACTAGTGTACTGTGTACTATGCACAATGTATGGGATATATTATCACGAGCAGGGCTGTGGTGGGAACGTCTGGCCAGCCTGAGGAGAGCAGAGCGGCTGTTTTTGAGCAGGAGAAGGATGGAGAGCGCTGTTTGCCCCCGTGGCCTGCCCCTGCCCAAGGCGCAGAGAGGGAGAAGGGTGGAGAGGCTCTCGGGTGGCTCCTCAGGGCCTGGTGGGATCTGAGCTGCCTCGGCCGACAAGGGGACACTTCTTCCTTCAGAAGTGTGTGCCAAGTGCTTCCTCCAGGCCAGGCACTGTGCTGGGTGCAGGAGAAGCAGCCTCAATGACATGGTGGGGCCCCCCTGGGGGGGCTATGGATCAAGATGGGAGGCGGCCCTTGGAGGGACTCACCCTGAAATAGAGAAGAGAATCTCAGGGCACCACCAGTGCAGGAGGATGGCTGCCGCCAGACTGCCACTAAGGCGCAGGGCAGGCTGGTGAGGGCCCCTGGCCTGATGATGCCAACCTGGCAGCTTGGGCATTGGGACTCTGTGCTGTGGGGAGCAAAGCCTGGACCGGGGGAGTGGTTGGAGGCCATGGTGAGGTGGAAGGAAGCTAGGGCAGGGTCTCAGCATCTAGCAAACTCGACCCTGGTGGAAGAGAGGGAGGCATAGGAAGCGCCAAGGTCCTGGGCTTGGTGACGGAATGACCGTCATCACCGAAGGTGGCAGTATGTCTTGGCAGAAACTTCAGAGTTATTGTAATATTTCCAATGGTAGCATTTGAAAGTTGGCTGAGCTTGTTTCCTTGCTGCAAAATTCAGGATTTATAAATTCAAATAGACTTATGAAATGAAAATACGATTTTTAGATTTAGTCTTTGATAACCTTTAACTGAATAAATCACTGGCTTGCTTGCTGGTTATCTGTAATTGCCAAGGTTATACAACTGGATGGTGTGGGAGCTCCCCCTCCACCGTCCTCCCCCACCCCAAGCAGGCATAGACTCTCAAATGTGTTACAAAGGTGTAATCATCAGACTTCCGAGGATCATATGGAAGGATTAGAATAACGGCTTGTAGATACAGTGGGGCCCATTCTGATACCATATAACCATGAACGTTTTAACAATTAGAGCCCCCCCAAATAGAAGGGATAATCCGAAAGGAGAGGCTCTCTCTTGTACGTGGGTACATGGAATTCTTCAAAGAAGGCTGACTGAGTAGAGTCTTGCACAGGATACGTGAATGGGCAGATGGCCTCGGAGGTGACTCAGCTCTGAGGTCTACGAGCCCGTGATCTCACAGCCTTAAAGACGGTACCTAGGGTGTCTTCTCTTTCCTCCCTCAAATTATTACTTCCTGCCCACAATCCCATCAAAGCAGCCTACCCACATTCCCCTTTAAGGGGACCCTGGGCTGACTTACCCTGGAGTGGCAGTTCGGCTTGGTAAGCCCTGATGGTCCCCCTTTCCCTCCTTAGTTTGTGAGCCAGCGTCTCCTGAAACCCCAAAACTTCAGCTTGATTAACTCTGTTGTTTCTGCAGAGTCACAGCACAATAGCCAGGCTCCCTCTCTCCCCATCATCCTCCCCTCCCTCCCCATCCCCTCCCTCCCTCTTCATCTCCTCCCTCTTCATCTCCTCCCTCTCTCCCCATCATCCTCCCCTCCCTCCCCATCACCTCCCTCCCTCTTCGTCTCCTCCCTCTCTCCCCATCATCCTCTCCTCCCTCCCCATCACCTCCCTCCCTCTTCATCTCCTCCCTCTCTCCCCATTATCTCCTTCCCTCTCCATCACCTTCTTCCCTCCCCATTATCTCTGTCCACTCCCCATCACCTCCCCCTCTCCCATTATCTCCCCACCCTGCTACTCTTCATCTCCCCTCACTTCCTATCATCCCCTCACCTTTGTTGCAAACCAGGGGAGTGGAATTAACGGGAGCCAAGCACCATTTTCCTGCAGAGATTTCCACAAGGTTGGAAAAAGAACTTTTCAGAAGAGATCACACTGCTTTGTGACCCAAAGGTGCAGAATGCCAAATTGCCCATCACCTTCTTCAAAATCTCCAGTGTGAAGCCTCTGTCTGTCCTCTGCCACTGAACTCTCCTAGAGAGGCAGATGAGAGCCTCAGCTCCTGTAATCCCCAGGGGATCCTCCATGAGGAAGCCGCGCCCACTCTGCCCTTACCCCGAGTACCCCTGGCTGCAGGGTGACCTCCCATCACCACTGTGTAGAAGCACGCTTCCCCCTGCCGGTCTCTCTGCCAGCATCCCTGTCGGTCCACGGGTCCAAAGCAGCCTTTGCAGAGTAAAACACTTGCAGAATAAACAATTTGGACAGTAGCACACAAAGAGATTACACTTAAAGGAGGCGAGGAAATATCCCTGGACCGGACCCAGGACCCTGCCCAGCCGTGTGACCTCGGGGAAGCCACAGCCTATCTCAGTGTCCTTGTGTCTCCTCTGTGGAGACAGGATGTTGAACGCAGCGATCTCTGAGGTCCAGCCAGCTGGAAACCTCCATCACTCGACAGCTAGGAAAGAATTTAAATGAGTATTTAATTTTCTCCACTCCCCCTCCCCCCTGCCAAATTCTTCATAGTTAGCTTGTAAAATTAGGAAATCAAGCCAAACCTGGGAACAGAAAATATCATCCTGGGGGGCGGGCTGCTATTTACAGTGTGTTATTAGCTCCAGACCTCGCCCTTGGTCACCAGCGTTTGTGCTTCCCTCTGTTTAGTGGCTGCTTCTTGATGCTGGCAGGGAACAATGCTATTCCGTGCCCACCTTCCATCAGTGTCCTGCAAAACCCAAGCCTATGTTAATGCCTCTCTGGGACTCCCAGGGCGACAGGGGACAGAAGAGGACTCAAATAACATTCTGGGGAAAAGGGAAAAGGAAACTGATTGGAGCAACGATGAGCCAGAGCTGGAGATCCCACCACGTGGCCTTTCTGGCAGAGGGAGCACGTGATGGTGACAGGCTGAGTGGATGAGTCAGCACAGGAACCGCCATCCCAGCCTGGCAGGTCTGGAATCTGTGATCGAGCGGAATATTGATTGCACCCGGGTGCAAACGAGAGCGAGAGAGGGCTAGGCAGGGTGAAAGAGAGGGATCTTCGAGCTATATAGATGCAGATAAAGAGGCGACAGGCATTTAGCCCTGGTTTTCCTTCTCCAGAGCCTGTTAATAACAGCGAAAGCCAGTTCCATCCTGGCAGGGTGTTTTCACTAAACCCTGAGCTGCTCTCTGTCACCTTCCACACGGGTTGGAGGAGAGCTGACGTTGGGGGGCCGCAGGACCGCGGAAGTGCAAGGCCGATGGTGCTCAGTGGATGTCCCAGCACGCCTGGCAGCACCTGTCAGCAGCAGCATCTGCTCATTCCTGAACCAGGCTCCATTCGTCAGCAGCCAGCATGCCCTCTGCCGGGAAGGGGCTGAGCCCGAGGAGCCGGTGGATCTCAGCCGGGGCTTTTCACCAGCAGAATCTGCTGTCCAGGAAGGAAATTACTGTGGGGCCAGAGAACATGACTTTAGAGCAGGGAGCACTAACCACGTTCCAGACAGAAAGAAGGACTCGATCTCCCTTTCAGTACAGGCAGCCCATCTGAGGACAGCTGTGCCCTCTCCCCTTCGGCTATGTCTGAATTAATCTCCCAGAGTTGGACTGTGGGTGCAAAAGAGAAATGGAAGATATAGTCCTTAAAAATGGGACACCTTGTACCTCCACGAGTGAAGATTCCAGAGGCCTGTCGGCCCTGCTTTTGTTGTATGTTATCTGGTACAACACTCTGCATAATTAGCAACAAAATGATCCAATTTAACACACATTTATTAAGCAGCAACTATGGACAAAGCACGCTGCTGGCTGCTGGAGCTTCAAATCTAACCGAGGCTCTGCCTTATTCGCACACTTTATGATCCTTGACGGCTGTCAGGGAGGAAGTCAGCGTCAGAACTGCTTAATGAGCAACCTCCTAAATGGGTACTGGAGTCTTTAAAAGAAAAAATATCATTACATTTAAATTTTACTTATTTCATAGAACAAAAATAAACTGAAGTTGTCAAAACTTAAATAAATGTTTCTTTACCACAAAAAAGATTATTTCTCTAAGAACAAGACATTACAGAATTAGCAGGTTGGGATGCTCTCTCTGTACACACACACACACACACACACACACACACTCTGCTATACCGCATGTCTTGATCTGAGAACACAGCGATTGTCTCCTTCCAGATAAAGATGAAGACACTGGCATCTCATACGCTTTCCATTTCAAAGAGAAGCAAGCAAAAATTCTCTTGCTTCCGTTTCCTCTTCTTTTCCTCTTCATTTTATTGTTATATAGTTATTGTTGTTTGAATCGAGTCACCCATAAAGATATGTTCAAGTCCTAACCCCTGGTGCCTGTGAGTGTGACTTTACAAGCAAACCTTTGAGAGATTGCCGGTTCAGTTCCAAACCACTGCAGGAAAGCAAATATCAATAGATGAGTCACACAAATATTTTTTGGTTTCCCAGTGCATATAAAAGTTATGTTTACACTCTACCATGGTATATTAAGTGTGCAATAGCATTATGTCTGAAAAACAATGCACACACTTTAATTAAAAAATACTTTATTGCTAAAAAATGCTACCTATCATTTGAGCCTTCAGTGAGTAGTAATCTTTTTGCTGGTGGAGGGTCTTGTAAAAAATGCAGTATCTGGGAGCCGGCCTGGTGGCATAGTGGTGAAGTTCGCATACTCTGCTTTGGTGGCCCAGGCTTTGCAGGTTTGGATCCCAGGTGTGGACCTAGCACTGCTTAAAAAGCCACGCTGTGGTGGCGTCCCACATAAAATAGAAGAAGATTGGCACAGATGTTAGCTCAAGACAATCTTCCTCACCAAAAAAAAAAAAAAAAAAAAAGCAGTATGCCATAAAGCAAAGCACAAAAACCAAAAAATATGCCTGTAATTGGAAATAGGGTCTTTGCAGATGTGATAAAGTTAAAATGAGGTCATATTGGATTACAGTGGGTCCTAATCCAGTGACTAGTGTCCTTATGAGAAGAGGGAAATTTTGACACAGCCACACAGAGGAAAGAAAGCCACGTGAAGACAGAAGCAGAGATTGGAGTGGTACGTTTACAAGCCGTGGAAAGCCAACGGCTGCTGGCAACCACCAGAAACTAGGAGAGAGGCTGGAGCAACTCCTCCCTCAGGACCTCCGGAAGGAACCAACCCCGTCAAAGTCTTGATTCCGAAGCCCCGGGCTCTGGACCGTGAGAGAATACACTTCTGCTGTTTAAAGCCACTCAGTTGGGGTCTTTGTTACGGCAGGCCTAGCAAACTCACACGACTGTTTCCACATGGTCCAGGTTTTCATTAATCACGTCTGCTTGGTAACATGCTGCTTACCGGTATGCGACATGTTTCATATTTAGAGTCATTGTTCACCGCCTGTTTCTTTAGGTGTGCGGTCCCTCTTGTGCCACCTTGTCACTTACCTTCTCATCTTTGGGCCGTCGTGAGCCTCCCTTCTTCCCTTCTTTGTGCTGTATGTTTGCACAGCCGCTCGGCCACTGCTTTCCATCTGACGCATGCTTGAGTAGCGCTCTCCCGCCTTCTGTTTGCTCTGAACTAAAGAGGGTAACTTGACATTACGCCTCCTTCTCGGAGACCAAGTTGTTGCTCTCCAGAAGCAGTTTGAAGACTGAGCAGAAACTGAGGAGTTTCTGTTGCCTTCAAGAATTGCAAGGGCAGAGGGCGGGAATTCAGCTGACGTGATCTAGCATAATTGTCGGACTATCTGGACTTTCTTTCATGAAGGGAAATTTTATTGACTATCCGGTTCTGGGCCCTCCCCTACCTAGTTGCAGGGCATGCCCCATTCACTGGGGACACTCTCAGGGTTCAGACCGTTCCCCTCATGCATGTGCGGTTCTGGGGGCCTCATTTCAGGCCCTAGTGCCCCCCGCTTCCCTTCTTCCCATTTCTCTGCCTCAACTGATTCCACCAGGCCTCGGGCAGAAGAGGAGACAGACAGCTTCCTCTCAGCTGGGCTCTGGGGGGCCCACAAGTGAGGCTTCTGGGAGTGCTGAGGGGCTGGCTCGGGACCCGGCTGTGCTGGGGCTGTGCTCTGTGCTTCACTCCAGAATCTTCCTGTCCTTAGCTTCTAGTTTTTGAAATGTACTTTTTTTGAGTTAAACTCTTTTCTTCTTTGGCTGCTGGTGGGAAATTCTTTTTATTTACAGTTTAATTCTTTTATTTACAGGTTAATTTTTTTCCTTATTTTTATTGAAATGTGAGAAGGGACATTCTGTAAAGCCATCTTAACTCAGAAGTTCATTATTAAAAATAGTGAACTTACGTTTAACATAACAGTGACTAATGTTGACTGGGTAGGTGGATGAATATGTTGTTATTCAGACTTCTACTTCCATCATCCTTATCCTAGGGAACTGGCGAAGAGAAAAGGACCACAAAGGATGATTTTGCTTGAGAGGCAGAATATTAGTCAAGGTTCTCCAGAGACAGAACCAGTAGGATATATATCTCTACCTATCTATCCATCTATCTATCGACCTATCTATCGATCTATCTCTATCTACCTACCTATATACCTATCTATCTGTCTATCGACCTATCTTTCTTTCTTTCTATGGTCTATCTATATCTATCTATCTGCCTATCTACCTATCTATCTGTCTACCTACCTATGTATCTGTCTGTCTTTCTATCATCTATCTACCGAGAGATATATTATAAGGAATCGGCCCACGTGAGTAAGGAGGTCGAGAAGCCCCACAATCTGCTGTGTGCAAGAGCAGACACCCAGGAGAGCAGGTGGTGTAGTCCAGTTTGAGTCCCAGGACAGAAGAAGATCAATACCCCAGCTCAAACAAACAAGCAGAAAGAGAGATTTCCCTGTTCTTCTCTCTTGGTTCTATTCTGGCCCTCAACAGGTTGGGTGAGGCCTATCCACATCGAGGAGGGCAATCTGCCTTACTCAGTCTATGGATTCAAATGCTAATCTCTTCTGGAAACACCCTCACAGACACACTCAGAATAACATTTAACCAGATATCTGGGAATCCTGTGACCCAGTCAAGTTGACTCATAAAATTAACCGTCACAGGCAGTATTCATCACAATAGCTAAGAATCTAGATCCTGGAGTCAGACAGACACATGTTTGGATTTTGGTTCTGCTGTTTACATGCTGTGTGGTGTTATTTTAGATTACTTAACCTCTCTGTGCCATAGCTTCCTCATCTGTAAGATGGGATTGAAAAGAGAACTACCACAAAGGCTGGCTGAGAGGATGAAAGGCGCTAACGAGTGAAAGTGTGAGCTTTATGGCTGGAACTTGAGAACGCTTGAGCAGGAAGGCATCTCAGAGCCAGCCTGCTCCTGTCTCACTTATTCTGTAGGAACAACGGACCTGGAGCCCAGAAAAGCTCAGCCTACCTCTAAGGAGCCGGTAAGGCGCCCAGAAAGGAAATGTGAGATGTAAGGCAAGACTACAGATGACACTGCGCCACGCGGCGCTTTGTGAGGCTGAGCTGGCAGGCCGGCTCCACGGGCGAGCAGGGCCAGGCTCCGGGTGGCGCTCTGGGCAGGGTCCGTGCAGGATCCGTGCAGGATCTGAGCCGGGAAGGCCACGGGCCCTCAGCATCAGATGGCTCTCTGTGTGCGCGGGGGCAGTCTTCATGCTCCCCCTCCTCCGCTGGTTTTACCTCCTCATTCTTCCTGAGCACACCTTCTGGGGAGGCCCTTTAGACAAGCAGCAGGTGAGCGCGGAGCGGGCCCAGCCGCCGTCCACAAGGGTCCACACTCCTGCGATTTATTCACCAACAAGCTTCCGCCCGGAGCCCTGCCAGGCGTGCCCTTGGGACCCTTGCGTGGCCGGGTCATGCAGCAGAAAAGTCTATCCTCTTCTTTGTGGGGAAACAGAGGCACAAAAGTGGTCAATGGCTTACCAAGAGACACTGGGCACCTGAACAACTCTCTCAGCCTGGAGATCGCCTCTTGAGACAGGAGGCGGCCCTGCAGACGGCTGCCCCCGGAGGGCTCGCAGCCCACAAAGCTGGGGAGCAGGACCCCGTGGCCAACACCCACGTGGGTCTGGGCTGCTCGGTCAAAACCATCTTGTGTCTTATATGAAAAATGCCAGACTTACAATGCAAATGTTGATTTAAAAAACTATACTTAGACCAGTGATCAGGGAAGCCTAATTAAAAAGTGCCATTACATTCCAAATTACCTTTATCAAGTCACTTTGTTCTTTAAAAAATGTGGTAAATAGTGATGCGTCAAGCACCATGCTGGCAATGCATAGAACGTAAGGAGGTAGAGGCCATTGCCCACAAAAGTTCCGAATCCGCCTTGGGGGGAGTAGTGTGTAGTTTGGGAGCGAGGAAGACACAAGCCTCTGCAGGGTGAGTCAGGTTCCTGGAGGAGCCTGTGGGAGGGCATCTGGGACTGGGAGAGGACAACCAGGTGAGAAGGGACGATCATAGACCTGTCTGGGCACAGTGGGCTGGGGAGGAGCTGGGAATGGAGCTCTCGTGGAGGGAACAGCATGGGGAAGGCCCCCAGGCAGAGAGAGCATGGCCGTCAGACATGTGCAGAGTAGCTTCCTGGGGCTTGAACACTTGGCTGGTGGAGGTGAGCTGGTGGGAGAGGAGGGCAGTGGTGCGCCCTGGAGGCTGTAAGCAGGGCTGAGTCGGGCTTGGGGACCGTCCTCTCTTGACCATGCCCAGCCTTTTCCTGACAGCCCAGGGACTCTCTATGGGTCCCAACCTAGCTCTGGACCATCTGCCCAGAGTGGCGTTAGCAGAGAGACACGCAAATGTTCATGAAAGACCAGCCGCCAGGCCGGGAGGAGGTATTTGCTGCGCGTGGGAGAGATAAAGGATTAGCCAGCAGAGGACATCAAGAGTTACTGCAAATCGGGGCTGGCCCCGTGGCCGAGTGGTTGAGTTCGTGCGCTCCGCTGCAGGCGGCCCAGTGTTTCGTTGGTTCGAATCCCGGGCGCGGACATGGCACTGCTCATCAAGCCACGCTGAGGCAGCGTCCTACATGCCGCAACTAGAAGGACCCACAACGAAAAATGTACAACTATGTACCGGGGGGCTTTGGGGAGAAAAAGGAAAAAATAAAATCTTTAAAAAAAAAAAAAAAAAAAAGAGTTACTGCAAATCAACAGGAAATAACTCTGTAGAAAAATTAGGAAAAGCACTGAACAGGCATTTCACAGAAGTGGAACCATGAATGGCCGATAACAGAGTGACAAGATGCTCTCGGGGTCAGCAACCAGGAAAACATACAATAAACCGCGAGCATTCAGGTGCTCTCCACTCCCAGGCTGTTTGCATTTTTATCAAGGGACATCGAAGACCAAAAGCCTTTCAGACGATGACCTTTCCACTCTCGGGCCAGGCTGGCAGGGAAGAAATTTGGGGCAAAGAGACCCTGCTTTTCAAATCTTGTCCAGGAAGGGACTGCTACGGCCTTCCACTGTTAGGGTGGTGGAGGCTGCGCTCCAGGTTGATCTAAGCACTACATTCGGCTTAATCTTGGTCTC